TTTAAATTATTCTATTGACCGTGCTCCAGAATAAGCTAACGAAAAAAAACTCTAGGAATCACTTGCTGAGCCATTGACTCCATCCACAAAACCACTCACGATCTATCTGATGCCGAAGAATTTTCAGTTGTATGTTAATGTAGCTTTATTACTGGTGGCGATGAAAGGTTCTTAGAGCAATCTTTCTGGGTCACGCCTATACCAGAATACGATCAATCGAATCACCAACGCATGCATTCGATAAATCTTTTTTGCAGGTATGGCAAATAAATCGACATGTATATTTTGTGATCTAAGGGACCGCCGGTCATCATTATTTACCGCCGGGGGGGGGGGAAGGATTTTAGGAAGGAGCGGTTATAACTGAGAACCCAAAAGGGGGGATCGCTGAAAACTTTGGAAGGATTCAGAGAAAGAACCAATCAAATTTGCTTGGAAAATGAAGACATGGCGAGACGGGGGGGAATCGCGAAAGTCATCAAAAGTTATTTGGGAGGATCACTTCAGTGAAGAAACATTCAAAGGGGGGATCGGCTAAATTTCACCTTGTCTAGCCCCAAACCTTCCCCCCCTTCCCGTCAGGCGATAAATAAGGACAGGTCCCTAATTTAAATATTACTTTCGCGCGCTTTTCAAAAACCGCGGAGAATTTTCCACCCAGTGGTACAGTCACGTTTTCGCTGAGATTCTGGGTACTCAACTGAGGCTCAACAAGCATGATTGCTTGATCATGGTGTTGTTGTTAATCTTTGTATTACGTCATTTGGTGATTGCACCCATCCGAAGCACCAAGAAACAACCGCTTTTAGTCATGTTCTTCCTGACAAACCCTTTCATCGAAAGGACGGGAGGATTAATCTGTCTTCCCTTCATGCACAGGAAGGACAGGAAAGCAAAAGGAAAGACAAGGCAAAGGAAAAGAAGACACAAGTGACCATGGAAATGGCCTCATTGCGCCAGGATGACGTTACACAGGACATGGCTTCGGCCACTCACGATCTGTCTGATGTAAGAAGAAAGTGTCTAGGGCCACAACAACACGAATCCGGACACGGTGAAACCGAATACTTCATTTTTGCGTCAACATAAATTCGGAGTGGTGTATCCGGTTTCACGCATTCACACGAATACGCGCTACTGCGGTTTGCAATTGCAACTGCACTCGGGCCAGCGGTGTGATTTCACTGGCCGTATATTCTTCCTTGTTCAAGTGCTTTAGGGTCAGAACATTTCATACACTTCTCAAGTGGGAATGTCAAAGCGAAATAACTAGGTAAAGGCCGATTCATTCCTCCGGAGCGAAAGTAGACAGAGGGTTTTGGCCTCCCCTTTAAATTTTTCAAGTTCCCATTTAAGCCTGGACCCGAGTTTATGACGTAGCTGATTTAAAAATATCCGGTTCCGTCGTCTTTACGAACTCGCCCAACCCGACGAATTAGCAAAAAATTCCACTCTGTAAAGGGGTTTCAATGCGGTCTCGATGAGCGGATTTACCGTTTTCGTGTAGATGCAAGGCCGATTCGTATTAAAAAGCATGCGGTTTCAAAAATATCCGGATTCGTGTGGACGGGGCCTAAGCCTTAAACGTTTCCTTTTCTCACGTAACGAAGGGTGTAATGTAACGCGCGATTGTAAACAAACATTGAAAAACACGTGCCAAGGGTAATGGCCTCATTACTAACGTTATCTCCGCCAATCAGCATTTCGCATCGACTTATTTATTTTCTAGAGATGTAGCTCCAAGCTCTCCTTCCTTTTCCCGCTTAGCCGTCAGAGCGCCCCGGAGAGCTTGCTCGCAGACTATTTACATGGCGGACGAGAGAGCTGCCATGGGGGCTGAAAAAATGACTCTGTTGGGGGGATTTTGCTATCTGAATGGTCATTGTATTAATGTCAAAGTTAATGAGTTCCTCAAGAGATGAATTCACCCTTAAGTAGCACAACTCCGTGACACATGTTTTTGTTGGTTTCCGGCCGCCATGTTAGTGACCATCCGGATGGGCACCAACATTGCGTCTCCATATAAAGCTGTATAAATGTAGGTAAAAAAATTCTCCGAATTTCTCGCGCTTGAAAAATTGCACCGACTGAATCTTGCCGAGGGCCTTTGTATATTTACCTTCTTTCATTTCCCAGATTCTAGACTTTACCTATTAAACGGTTTTGATTTTAATTTTTAATAGCATGACAGTGAAAACCAGCAATAGCGTTACATTTTTTCTACATGTAAATGTGAACTCCATTTTCTTTAATCATTTAGCAAAGTTTGGCTGATGAGTATGAAGTTAAGGAGGATCAACATTCTATACACCAAGACCAAGAAGACATTGCAGTGTGTCCGCAACAAAGCAACAAAGATGCCGTTCTTGAAGTGATTCCATCGACTTCCACCGAAGTAGATGTAAGACGAAAACAAAAACACCATAATTAATTATTCACTAATAAAGAAGAATTTGCCGCTAGGGCGCCTTATTTTGCTTATGTTTCACGTTAGAAGGACGCAACGTGATCTTGGTGTTCCTTTGCCACTAATGTGTTTCGTCGATGGTGTACCTTTTCTGCACCGTCTTGGATTTACGTTTCAGCGTCTTGTTTTCATTCTCTTGAGCTACTTTCAGTTGCGGGCTTGTGACTTCCAGAACGGTGGCTTATATAAGGAATCGACCAGTAAAATGGTGTGTTTGTTGTTTTCAATCAGTACCACGTGTATCAGCGGGTGGTCGAGGATTTCTGGGTAAACATCAAACTGTGGGCGTGGATTTTCATCCTAGACTTGAAAACAGTACCCTGGACCCAAAGTAAATTTTATCTAGCTCTAAACTGGTCACTTTGAAGTTACTTTCAATAGATAATACTTGTATATTCCGTGGCTCTTGTCTGGCTTAAGCAAATTATGTTATTTTTATCTTTTTATCCGTTAGTTACTTATTTACTAACAAGGAAAGTAATTACTTGAAAACTGTGCTGTTTCAAGCTAAACCAAAAATTTGATAGTTTTTTTTTTATCAATTTAATTAGGATGAGGAATTCAAAGTAACTGACAAAGAACTTCTAACCAGGCCATCGGCATCACTTGGAAAAAATCAAGCTTCTGCAATGCCACTTTCAACTGAAAACCTAGAGGAGTCAGACGAGGATCCTTGTGTCGTAGAGGAGAACTTTTCTACCAAACAACTGTTTTCACTTGCCTGGCAAATAGCTAAAGGAATGGTAATTATCTTTGTGTTCTGGATAATGTTGCTGGGATTCTGGATCTGAGTATAACTTGGAAAGAAGAGTTCAAAAGTCAATATTTTATAAACATGAAATAGATGGGATAGATATATTGGCTATTTTTCTAGATATGAGTACATTAAAATGGCTTATATGGAAAAAAAATTTTCTTTTCAGTCGACCCAGTTTTGGCTGGATCAGATCAGTGCCGATATTTACTTTTCATTTGTATTTTTTCATCTATACTTAACTACTTGGTGTTCGGCGTACCCCCGTTATTATGTTTTGAGATCATTTTAATCGTTTTTTCGTTGCTTATTTGTTATTAGAATCATCTCGCCGAAAACAATCTTGTTCACAGAGACCTTGCTGCCCGTAATATTCTTGTTGGCCATGACAACCAGATTAAAGTGTCAGACTTTGGGTTGATGAGACAAATCTATGAAGATGTGAACAGCTCAACGAAGTCCAAAAAACTTCCTGTAAAGTGGATGGCCCCAGAATCACTTTATCAAGGCGTTTACACGACCAAAAGTGATGTGTGAGTGATACGTTTTTCCGCTCCGTTGACAAGGGAACTATTGAAACGCTTCTACTGAATCACTTCTCAAAATCGTAGTTGCTGTAAAAATTACAGAAGTATATAACTCTGAAGCGCCTAAATTCTCCTTATTTGTTTGTAACCTCGCTAGGGCCTTGTTTTTAGCCGTCCAGTTAGAAGCACGGAAAATTGTTTGCCAAAATATGGAATCATAGAATTGAAGGCATCTCTGTCTAAATATAGCTAAACACGGATTCTTGCAATCCTTAACAATTCTCCAATTATTCATAATAATAATAATCATGATAATGAATTTATATAGCGCAAATTCCATTCAATGTTTAAATGCGCTTCACAATAACTAATACTAATATAAAAAGAGTAATAATAAAAAAAAATCCGAATGCTTCTACTAATACTAATACTAATACTAATACTAATACTGCCTAATAATACTACTGTGCCAAATAAATGCTACTATGATATTGCGCTGCAGGTTATGGCAAAACTGCTAAACGAAAAAGGTGGGTTTTTACCTTTGATTTAAAAATGTCCAGCGACTTGCAGTCTCTGACTTCAAATGGCAATGTATTCCAGAGTTCTGGTGCTGCTCAAGTAAGCGACCTGTCACCAAGGGTCGCTTTACATATAAATGCGGATTGCTTAAGCAAGGGATTGTCACTAGAACGTCTCAGGTTATAGCATGACTGAGGCTTCAGAGATGTTAGTGACTCCAAGTAAGTGGGAGCTGTGCCATGCAAGATCTTAAAAGTTAACAGAAGAATCTTGAATACAATTCTAGAGTGAATCGGTAACCAATGCAACTTAATGAGGAACGGTGTTATGCGACAATCTACCCTCAGCAAATATCAGTCTAGCACATGCAGGCATCCTGCACACGTTGTAATTTGATCAATGAGCAGGTTGGCAGAACATATAAAAAAAACTGTTACATTAGTCACGGCGAATTGTTATGAAAGCATGAATAAGTGACTTTGCTGACTTCTTTGAGAGATACTTCCGAATCCGACGTAAGTTATTCAAATAGTGGAATGATGAACTGCAACTTTTCGAAATAAGTTCCGTCATAGAGACATTGGCATCTAACCACGAGCCAAGGTTCCTAGCGACAGCCACAGGGTGAATGTTGGTGTTACCTACGCGAATATGAGTGATAACTACCTTCTCAAGTTTCTGCGGTGTACCTATTATAAGAAGTTCAGTTTTTTCGTCATTTAATTTAGGATTGTCACGCAACATCCAAGAACAAATATCAGTAATACAACTTTCCAGTAACTCTCCAACATTAAGTTGATCGAGCCTGTCGTTTGGGCAGAATGAGATGTATACCTGCGTGTCGTCAGCGTAACAATGAACCGTAGGAAAATGATGTTTGATGATCTCGAAGAGTTTGCTCGAATACAGAGTAAATAATAAGGGGCCCAAACAGGAGGGACACCACGTTGCAACTCGAATTCCGCGGAGAGTGTCTCATTGACGGCTATTTGCTGAGACCTTCCGGACAAATAAGACGAAAACCAGGAGAGGCCTTTTCCATTTATACCAAATGTGAACTGAAGTCGGTGCAGTAAAGTGTCGTGATCGACAGTGTCAAAAGCCACACTTAAATCGAAGAGAAGAAGCAGAGTGACACGTTGATCGTTCATTTTAAGGAGGATGTCGTTAGTGACTTTGAGAAGTGCTGTTTCTATGCTGTGTTTGGGACGATAAGCTGATTGCAGAACAGGGAAGAGATCATTGCTGAAAAAATAATGTTGAAGTTGCTTGGCGACCGCTGTCTCCACAAGTTTTGAGGCATATGCGAGGTTACTCCCAGGTCTATAGTTCTTAAAGATGGGATCGAGACCCTCCATCTTTAGCAGTGGTTTAACAAAGGGCGCTTTCAGATAAGAGGAAAATAGCCTGATTCCAGCGAAAGGTTAATTAATTTCGTAATTGGAGGAGGTAATACATCAAGACACTCAGTAAAAAGCTTAGTAGGAATGGGGTCAAGAGAACAAGTCGTCTTTGTAGATGATTTGATTAGTTCATGAACTTCGGTTTCAGAAAGAAGACGAAATTCAGAAAAAGAGGGGCCTTCAAGTGCAAAGTGGGATTCGCTAACATCGGAAGTGCTACCTTGGCGAGCAATCTCAAGCCAAATGGAGTTAATTTTGTCATGGAAGAACTTGCCAAAATCTTTAGCCATTAATTTATTAAGATCAGAATGTAGAGGGAGACTGGCACACTTCGATAGGTTAAGCAGTGATTTACATGCAGTGAACAGTTTCCTCTGGTTGAGACAGTTTTCAACTACATTTTTCAATTACATCCAAAACTCAAAAGTACACGCATTTTTGGGCTCGTCCACGACAAATAAAAGGAATTAAGAGATAAACAGGGGAATAAACAATCTAAATATCGTGAATCTGTACATATTTATAACATCTTTGTTTTTTTTTCATAGTTGGTCTTTTGGTGTTGTTCTTTGGGAAATGGCTACCTTGGGTGAGTGGACGGTAATTTTGCAGTTTATTGTTGTCATGTTAAATTTGAGGTGACTGACAAATCAAAAAAACATTTTTCATGGTCTATGACTCTTATCGACCTAGAAATGATGTCAAAATGTTGAAAACTCATGTACGACCCGCAGGATAATGGTTTCACACTGCAAACTTTAGAGCTTCCAGGAGAATTAAGCTAGGGGACCGTGCATGAACCCACCTTGCCCCTTTTGCCATGGTGGGATGTAACTTAACTGTTACGATTGTTATCAAGGTTACTGCTACCAGGAAGGGCGAAAGCAATGTTTCATAATGTTTCATTTGCGGCAAGTTTGAATTTTCTTGTTTGATCTGGGCTATGTTTTAATTGATTAAGTGCTGTGAGACGTCTCCTAGTTGATAAGCGTATGTGACAACATATATTAAATTTGCGAGCATTTCAGTGATGACTGGAAACGAGAACCTTATGCCCTCTATTATTACACATTTAACTGCATTGGCCATATATCAGACCTCTATTCAATCAACCATTTTTGCAAAATGGCCTTATTGAGTTTATATGAGGAGAAGTGACAATCGACTAAGGCATCTTTAATAGAAATCTAACTAATGGAGAATTACATGTATTCAGTTGCCGATATGTAATCATTTGTTTTCTTTCTCGCAATCGTCAGGAGGCGTACCATACCCCACGCTGACCAACTCAGAGTTGTATCGACTGCTCGGTACTGGTTATCGCATGGAAAGGCCTGACATGTGCTCCGATGACGTGTACGTTTCCTGATTAGAGTGGTCTTAGATTTAACAGATTCGATTTTTCTGTGCCTCTGCTCAGTTACATTTCACACCGAACGGTGCAGCATACGAATTCGTCAAATATTTTAACGCCTTCTCTGATCATATTAAATACTGACCAGACGGACGGCAAGGGAAAACTTTTGTTAAGATCTTCACTCGTTGAACAAGGAAACCCTCCAAGCTTTAGCTTTATGGTCAATAAAGGCATCATTAGCAGTGATCAGGTTAACCTCTTTCTTGGGGCCGGGGGAGTACTCCCTGTACTGGGGAGGCACCCCCCCAGAAGGGGTCCTTCTTTCAGTCTTTTGGTGTAGGAATTTTGCTAGTGGAAGTATATGAAAGGGTAGGGAATTCTGTCATTTCGGTCTGTAAAATGACTTAAGAGGACCAGATAAGATTTTTTGGCTGTGAAAATGTCGAGAAAAAAGAAACTCATGAAGCTAAGAAGCCTATATATTCTACTAAAATTTTTTTTTTTATTCCAATAGACCTCTTTCGCTTAAATGTTTTGTTTTCCCAATAGGGGTCATTTCTAACGGTCAAACTCCCCCGGGACCTCTTTTGGGAAACCAAAACATACAAGGGTCTACAAGCTATAAAGAGGTCTTCCCTATTGACACTGTCTAATAATTGACTGGAGCTCTTCTAAGCATTGAATAGTTCTTTTTTTTTTTTTTCAATTCATAACAGATATGAGCTGATTACTGAATGTTGGAACGAAGACCCTTACATTCGTCCCAGTTTCTACCGTTTGATCGAAAAAATGGAGGCGATAATGGAAAGAGATGCACCATATTTGCATGTAAACAAGCACGATGAAGATCGTCCGTATTACAACGTGCCACCTGAAGCTAGTGATGATTAATATGGAGAAGAAGAAGTATCCCCAATAATCGGACAGTTTAAGACGGAACAAGCATAAACAGCTAAATGCATGTAATGGACTTAGAAACTAAGCCAAGAAAATACTGAAAGAATTAAAACTAACAAAAAGGAGCTTTAATTATAACAAAAATGTGTAACGCTAAGGCCATCCAGATCTAATCAGGAGCCCATCATCCAGGAATGTAAACCTCTCTTATAGTATTTTTAGATTTTTACTTGGCTATTTATAGATTAGTCTTTCACGGCACGAAAATAGAAAGTGGGGCTGAGTAGGATTTCCAGCAATCAGCGGATGCTATCAAAGAAGTATAAAGTGATTAAGGTTTCAACTGAATGACGAGCCTTAAAAGTTAGGCACTATCTGAGAAGATCAACCGCCATGTTGGATTGCACCGAAGTTTATTTTAGAGCACAGTGAATTTTTCGTAAAAGATTGGTTTATTGTGTTACCCGACTTACCCAGGTTTTTCACCGCGATAATGGTTGTTCTTGCAATGCAAGAGTTTGATATCTGGTTGCTAAAACGCTCGTCATTCAGAACGTTGAAAACGTTTGGGCTGAAATAATAGTTTTATTAAGTACCCACAGATTTGTCATATAATAACATTGAGTTTCTCTACGGGCTCAAGATTTGAAATTAAAACAAAATTTTTTCATGTTTTTTAGAAGACAGTTATCGGGTTAAGTACCCTTCTTAAAATACTAACCAGCGTTAGCTCTAACCTCCGATGAGATATGGTTCTATGACCAAAAATAACGTACCTTAAAAAAAGAGAAAGAGAAAGAGAGAGCCTTAAAAAAGGAGAAACACTTTAACGAAAGGGCCTTAAAACATCCATCTTGGTAATCTAGGATATAAAAAAAAGCTCTGATCATAGCCCCGGCATTTGTACGGTGAAATCTCGCTTAGAAGCCCCGGGTTTCAGGGCAAGATGGGAAAAAGGTTTTTCTTCAGTGGGCCTCCTGTGGCTTTAAACTCTCAATAGAGTATAGGGTGACTTAAAGTCAGTATATACATAAAAACCTTACAATGGTTGGAATGAAGAATTACCTATCTTCTATATTCACTGGCATTCCTCCACGCACCCGCACTCCCATGCTCCGGTGGAGTTTCAAAGGATTTCCGACTACAAGTTACCCTGTATTTATTACTGTCAGTATTGTAAATTATAGACGGAGGGGTTTAAATAAGAATCTAGGGATTACATATTTAACTATTGTTTTAATGCTTTGCAAAATCCTTATGAGATATGTATAAACTGGCTGAAATACCTGTAACGCTATCAGTATGATTAAAATAACATTGTTCCGCACTTGATTTGCTTTATACTTTGGCATTTCTCGTTTCAAATTAGTAATCATGTAAATGGTTTGACCAATGAATGACTGCATGAATAAGTCATTAACGTCGCGGTATTCCTTTGATAACTGCCACTTGGGGCTTTTGCGTGGTTTATTTCACTGCATGTTTTCGGAGCTTTTCGGTAATTCGGCTAAATGAACGAAAGGGAGAAAAGAAAATAATTAATTAAAACAAGCTAGACATTACATTATGCGTAAAATATAATATAAAAAGGTTAGCACATAGTAGACGCACAAAATGCAGTTGCAAGACTTATTCTCAAGCAAACTAAGTTTTGCCATATAACCCTATAATGCCAGTCTTATGTCAGCTTCACTGGCTGCCCATTAAGTACCGCTTGGAGTTTAAATTTTTTCTTATTACTTCAAAAGCTACTCACGGCATGGCCCCTGATTATATCTGCAGATTGATCAGCCGGACAACATCAACCAGATATTCCCTTAGATCCAGCGAAAAATTATGCTAGAGGTTCCTATGCTAGGGGCAGCCCCGAAGCTCTGGAACATTCTTCCCGGTAAAATATCCAGTGTTTCTCTTTCAAATTTTAAATGCCAGTGTTAAAACATATCTTTTTAGAGAAGCTTTTAATTTGTAGTAGAGTATTTATTTTGTTTATTTTATTATTTATTTTATTATAATTATTTTTTAGATCTTTTACCTGTTAGTAATTTTTTATTCATTTTTATTCTTTTAAACTTACTGTTAAGCGCAGTAGAGTAGTAGGGTATTAATAATTCGTTTATTATTATTATCATTATTATTGTTATTATTATTATTATTATTATTACATCTATTATCATTTAGTCTTTTTCTCCACTTGTACATTTTATTCATTTTTGCTCTGTTTGGCTTAATGTAAAGCGCATTAAGGAAAATTGCACACTGATAAGTTTCAATTAATTGTACAGTCAAACCTCTCGGTACGGACACCTCTCTATTACGGACAGTTTCCAATGTCCCGAGAAAATTTTCCTATATTTTCTTAAAAAAAAAAAACCTCTATAATACGGACAACGGACAGTAAATCTCGGCCCCAGAGAGTAAATTCATATACACTTAACCTCTTTATTACGGACACTACGGTGATCAGATGAATCCCGATCAGGTGAATCTGCACAGGGTGAATCTCGTCCAGTCTGGCTGATGAGCTATGCGAGGTGCGAGTTTAAATCCCAGTCGCCGGTATACCAAACAATGATTTTCGAACGGTGTACAGAGGAACATAACCGACGTTTTGAAGGCTTCGATAACTACAGATAGTACTAAGATCTTTTTTATTACATTTTAAACTCTCGTTAGTATTTACTGCACTTGCAAAATAGCGAAAGACGCTTTCAGAATTGTGCTTTACGTTGCAACTTTTTGCATGCAGCATTGCCCTGTAGCTCGTTTCGTTTTAAAACAGTAATTGGTCTGTAGCTGAGATGTACAATGTTGTATGCTACTGGAAGACAGAGTCTTTGTACTTAATAACTTAAAATTAAAATTGGCTTCAGGGGTCTGTGTTACTTCCGATTGCTCCCAAATTTGGCACACAGGAAGTTAATAGAATTAGCCAATCACCTGCCTAGTTCCAGCCCCTGTGGACTGTTGACCATCACGCACTGAGCTTTCTAAAAGTTTGAATTTTATGGCGAATGAAAGCTTGTATCGACGAATGTCAACCAAATACAAGTCAAGCAAACTATTCTGAAGGATTTTGGAGGATAACAAGCAAAATAAACGCGAAAATTGAGGTAAGGAAACACTTAGAATCTGTGCATGCAAATCGCCGATCGCCGAACTCTGTGCCACATGTTCTTGAAACGGCGACGATTTCCTTCCCGTTTTGCCTTCGCTTCGCCTTTTGCCGTTAAATTCTTGCTTATTTTGATGAATTCTATCAGCAAATTCATGTCTGCTTGTCTCTAACTCGATATTTTTTTGGTAGTCGAGGAAAAAAAGCGTCTTAGTGAAGTAAACATGTGGTCACAAAGTGACGCCAAGGGATTACGCTAATTATGATAATCTAATTAGCATAATTATGACAGCGTGCAGAAAAAACATTGTAGAAAATTTCTAGTCGCTCCATATTTTAGAACGATTTTCGGGTTTTTTTGCTTAGATATTGATGAAAAAAATTTCTTACTACGGTATCACCCAAAATAAAGAAGTTTCCTAGCTAAATGACATTCTTTAAATGACATTCTTTGAAAAAATTCTTATGCAAAATATGTTTTTAATTTTTTTTGTGGCGGAATATTATGGGTTTCCTGTGACCGAAATATTGTTTTTTCGAACGGTATTCTTTTGCCTTTCCAATGAGGTATAGCTTGATATTGAACTGTAAATAACACCAGAGATATGATTTTTTAAAGTTACATGGCAAAATACATTAAAATAATTTGCTGAAGACAATGAGTTTTAATTAATTAAATTAAAGACGAGTGTAAGCCTGGTTTTAGCTACTGAACACTTAAAACTGAAAGTGGAGTCATAAAAGTGACGTCAGCATAGTCATGCAAATTTAGGCCCGTTTTCAGGACAAATAGATTCCATAATAGTTTTGTTACGTCCAACGCCCTCAAAACTTAAACTGTGTTCCCGATCTATAGCTTGAGAAGTTTCGATTGCTTTTTATCAAGTCGATTTCGTTGTTTTATTTTTTTTTAACAAAATAATCACAATTTTACTGTTACAGTTGTTGTGATGTTGGAAACTGCCCATATATCTGCTTTTTCTCAGCGCTGGGGTTTTAATAATTTCGTTTGGATATTGCAAGAAAGAGTCATCGTCGCTTTTTTTCATCGCCTTCATCGCAGTCGTTTAAGAAATTTACACTTCTGTGGCTTGTGACTCTGGCGATATGTGAGCATACAATGTTTGCTGTCTGTTGTTTTTCTTGCACTATGATTCGTGAACTTTTTTCTCACTTTAAACTTCAAGGCTAGTATCATTTACAGATTCTTTTCATTATCGGTTACTTGCGGTTACTTATGGTATTTTCGCCCTTTGGTTTAGTTTGAACCAGATGTTTGTCATCAAGTTTTCGGTTTCATTTGATACTGATCAGGTAGAAAGAACTACGGCACCATCTCTACCCTTTTTTACCTGTTGTTTGTGGCAAAAATTGAGCGGCGAATCCGCGATCGTGATGAGCGGGAGAAAAAAAACCCTTTGGTCTCGGCAGTTACAAACCTCACTTCCATGAGTACAGATTTTGAACTTGGTTGCTGATTGGTGTTTGAATTTAGCCTGAGACCTTTCCGAGTGATAATGATAACAAGAACTCTCATTGGCCAAATCTCTGGAATGCTCCTGGGGAGCCCTAAAAACCGGTTTTTTGGCTCGAAGAAACTTCAAACAAAGAAAAAGGTGGACGATGGTAGCGAATTCGAGCGAGCCTTTTGTGGTGCAGTACAATTTACGTTGGATAGTGGTTTTCCAATATTCTTTCAAGAGTTGAAACCTGTCCAGGAAGAAGCCTCGCTCCACTTCATCAGGCGAAAAGATGTGTTTGCAGTGCTTCCAGCTGGATGCGGGAATTCTCTGATCTTTCAAATCGTTCCAAGGGTATGTGCATATTTGCACGATCGAGAGTTCAACTATCCTAAAGCAGCCGTCTTAGTTGTCGTTTG